GATAATTGCTTTTGAAGATATTCTTTCAAAGGGGGATGATAACAAAACTCAAACTATTGGCACTAAACTTGCTCTTCAAGTTTGTTTATTAATATCCACCTAGCTATAGAAAGCCAACCTTATAGATCCTGGAGAACATATATTACAAATGTGAATGCTGGGGGGAAATTGTAGGTTTTTTTGTTTTGTTTTTCTTTTAAACATATTTTTATTGATTTCAGAGAGGAAGGGAGAGGGAGAAAGATAGAAACACCAATGATGAGAATCATTGATTGGCTGCCTTCTGCATGTTCCCCACTGAGGATTGAGACTGCAACCCAGGCATGTGCCCTTGACTGGAATTGAACCTGGGACCCAGGCCAATGCTCTAACCACTGAGCAAGGCAGCCAGGGTGAAAATTGTGTTTTGACAAGCTACTAAAATTGTGTCACATCTGAGAGAAATTATAGGGTTATGCTTACAACTTGCTTTTAAAACTTGATTTTGTATAAAACATCTGAAATAAGTTTGCCAAGAAAGAAATCAATGTATGATAAAGATGAAAAAAATGTTTTTAGAGCTATACCATGAAAATTCAGCTAGTTCTTGGATAAACATCTTCTTTAGATATGAAAGTAAACATAGAGAATTCAGAAACTCAACATATTCTTTCTGGATTCTATTACATGTATATTTTTATTATAAATTATGGCATATCTCCTTATTTACTGTACATATTTTGTAGTTTGATGAGAAAATATCCTTTGAGGAATACTTTAGCCAAAACTAAATTAAAATTATAAGGTATATGCAATAGAAATCTGAAAAAGAACCTCAATCTTTATTGGTACTTATTATTTTGAAGTAGCATGTTAAGTTTATATTGTAAGAACCATCCTAGCAATTAAGTTTTAAATAGTTTTTAGTCCATGACTATTTTTTAGAATAACTTAATTAATTATATCTACAAAAGATTATATACCTCAATACAAACATTACGATGTATTTTTTTCTATTATACTTTCCTTGTTTATATAAACTTTGAAAACATGAGATATGCTTTGGACTCTTTGGAATGAACTACTTAGAATACAACTAGAGGAAGAAGTGTCCTTTTTCAACTCACACAAAATCTATGGTGTAGTTATGGTATCCTTAAGTGGATAAGATATCTGTTGCATAATCATTTCAAACACAAAAGATTTAGGATATGACCCAAGAATCCCTAATATTTTTTTCATTTTTTTTATTAAGGTATTATATGTGTACATATCTTATCATTGCCCCCTCCCAACCCTACTCCCACAGTAAAGCATCAAACAGAATGTCAAATTACAGTGGGAAGGTTAGGGAGAGGTGGGGGAGATAAGAGATCAACCCAAAGACTTGTGTGCATGCATATAAGCATAACCAATGGACGGAAAACTCTGGGGGGTGAGGGCCTAATATTCTTTAAAAATGATATTTTAGAGATTGATCATCCAAACATATTTATATTTCCCAATCTACACACATCTTATAAGTGTTCAATTTTATTTGTACCCAAACTGGCCTTTTGAAGCTAACTTCATAGTCTCATATGTTTTAGGAAGAAGGATGATGATTATCTAAAACAAATTTTCTGAAACTGCACTCAAGAATATTATATAAATGTTCTTATGAAAAAAAGTATTCAGAAATGGAATAACTTTGGTATAAGAATAAACAAAGATAAAACTTAAAAACAATAATGTGTACTATGATTCATTAATAAGAAAGTGCAGTAAGCAGTGCTTGGAAAATATAATAAAGGTTATACAGGGGATTGTACACTACTCATTTCAGATGTGCTTATCTCGACACTTTCTCAGTTCATAACATACTTGGATAGCAGTAATCAAAACAATATATGGTATTTTCAGTACCTACATATTATGGTTTTATTTAATACAAATAAAATCATGTCATATGTAGTCCTTGATGAGAATACAGTGCATTTGGTTGACTTTTAGGTTATTGAACATTGTCCTTGGTAAATTCTATAATGTATTCTAAATCTTCTTACTGATGTCCAGAGTAAAATTCACCCAAGGCAATGTACAATAAAACATTTCTTGTGTCACAGGATTATGTGAGCAAAGACATGCAGGGAGCCAGAAATTAAAAATACATTTTAACTTCTTAAATAGATTATAATCTCCTTGAGTATGTGGCTTAGATTTGTTGCTTTAATGTAGTCTTGACAAATAATGAAGTCCATACATATTATAGGAACTCAAAAGTTTCCTACTACTTACTATGATATATAAATATATTCTATCATAATTGATCAGACTTGTTCATCTTTTAACCATGAATAGATACAAAAGTAAACATAGAGAATTCAGACACTCAACTGAAATGACAAAAAGAAATCCTGAGAAGCAGTGACATACTGAGAACCGGCATTCCTCACAACGTTAGCTATGAGAACAGGGCCTGCAACCCTCATTGCACCTCAGTTGAGACAGCATTTTTTCAGTGATGTCACTTTGTTTTGTTCTGTTTTGTTTTCCTTTTCATCCCAAGCCCTCCTCTCAGATTTTTATCCACAGGATTGATGGTGGATGCAAAATCACCCTGTATGTATTTGTGTGTGTGTGTGTGGGTGGGCGTGTGTGTGTACACATGGGTATGCCCATGCAGACATTTTAAGGAGAAGAATGTATGTGAAAAGATGACTCAATTCTGACTTCAGGAGAAAGATCTACCTCTTTTCATATTTCATTCCTTCTTCTCTGTTCATCCTAAGTATTCTAGGAAATCAAATATGGACAACATATGGAAAATCACTGAAAAGTAACAAGGAAAATATCTTATTAAATTAAGTGGAAACTTGTTTAGCCATTAGCTTTATTTTCTTTATTTTTATTTTTTAAATATATTTTATTGATTTTGTATAGAGAGGAAGGGAGAGAGATAGAGAGCTAGAAACATCGATGAGAGAGAGTCATCGATCAGCTGCCTCTTGCACACCCCCTACTGGGGATATGCCCGCAACCGGAATTGAACCCGGGACCTTTTAGTCCCCAAGCCGACGCTCTATCCATTGAGCTAAACTGGTCTTGGCTAGCCATTAGCTTTATTGCCTAACTTACATAATCCACTTACATAAAAACAATTCTCAGCTCATATGTGTTCTACAGTACACAGGACAAAACGGGAAATTAAAACATTGAAATGCCCTCAGAAATGAATTTTTCAGTAAGAAACTATTTGTATGATTTTTTAGGTCTACTCCTCTCTCCACCAACTTCTCTAAATAAGAAAAGTTATATGGATCAAGGAAGCAAATACTCCTCTAACTTTTGCATCTTATCATATGGTATAATTGTAATTAGTGTTGATTTGTTAAATGCATTTTCCCAGAAAGTAACATTGGCTCCAATGTGATAACACTGTTTCTTCTGATCTCCCTTGTATAAAATCATAGTCAATGGTTGTTGAGCTGCCTAATGTTTTTCTCTTCTGTAATAATTTTTACCTCAAAAATCACATAAGCAAAAATTTTTCCCAAAGATAAACATTTGGGGAATCCTTTTCTCTTGAAATTTAAAGAAAATGACAACAGTGCCACAGATTATTCTTTCAATGGGTTAGTAATATGAATTCTATTAACTAGTAATACTTTATAGCATAAGACTCAAGGTATTTGGTTCTATTGTGAACAAAAAGAAAAATTACCTCAAGACATATTGTTTTATAATTATTTTAGTAAATTGTTTTCAGTGAATAAAAGTGTGAAAGTCCTGTTTAAGACCTGTTTATTGATATTCTAGCTAAACTGAATAGGTTTTGAAATATAATAACATAGCTATTTCAATAAAAAAAAAAGAATCTATTAGAATAATTTTCACCCTTGATCCTAAGCAACTCAATATGGCTACATTCTTTAGCTCTTCTATATATATAATTTTTTTTTAAGAGACCTTATCCTGTTAGGACCAGACACTTAAAACATCTGAGGTAAAGATCAACCATGTTCTATTAATATTTTTATCAGTTGAAATTGCTCATGTAGATGAGCAGAGTTCAATTTTGTTAATTAATAGTAGATAATTACTCTTACTTTTTTCAAAAAGATGAGCTCAGTGCAGGGAAATTCAGGAGGAAGGAATGTTTTAGGATCCATCTCATTGCACATAATGAAAATGTGTGATGATATCAGACTTTCAGAGTATTAGGAATGCAATTACTTTTGTTTTGAACATTTCTATTTCTTGTGCTTTTCATTAAACCCAAAATACTTTCAGTGAAACTTGTCTTTCTGTAAACTAGTTAAGAACAAATATAAAATATGGGTTGTCCATAATGAGTCTGCTTTACTAAATGAAGGTGACACTGGAATCCCGGGCTCTTTTCCCTTCCAGCAGGGTACTTGGCCTTGTAAGGACACAGAGCACTCTTGGTGATGTAAACAAAATGTAAATTTCTTACAGCTCATAATGTAGAGTGTGAATTTTGTTATCATATCCACTCAATCCCGCTCTGAAAGGAAACCAACCGCAAACTACAGTCCCTGGGGAAAATGCAGCTGGCATTCTGCTTTGTTTTATTTGTTTGTTTTTGTAAATAAATATTTTGGAACCTAGTGTTCACACTACAATATAATGACGTCGTTGAGCAGATGTGACAGACAGTGTCCTATTATACTACCTGTCTCTTTATGGAAAAACTTTCTGATGCTGGCCTAAAGGATCTCTGTGGACTTAATCAAACCAGAAGGAAATTCCTGCCAATGTGACTGAGCTATCTTTAAGAAGATGACTATATTTATCGCCTGTATCTTATAGTACAATAGATAGTACCAAACTTTCTACTGGTGATACAACTCAATAGTTTTAATAAATGTTCAACCCACTTCAGTCCATTACTTTAATGAAATGTCAGAGTTTCTGTTACTTGACCCAGACTGTATTTCAGTAAGAATATTCAGCAAGCTGGTTGCATTTTTATACCATGGGCAAAGACCCAGTTTATAGAAACAGTATTGCCAACTCACCTGATTCTACCCCTGGGGCGCTCAGACTGCTCTGACATAAAGCTTGTGCTGCTGAGGCGCGAGGCACTGCTGGTTCTGGAAATGGCGGACACGTCACTGACATCACTATCTGATGATTTGGCAGAGACGTTATCACAGCTTCTGTACTGATCTTTATGTATGCTATACTAAAGATTAAAAACAAGAAAGTGTGAGCTCCATCATCAATTCGTGAGAAACAGAGACATACATGGTGAGGATAATGACTATTTAGCCAACACCAAACAAATATGCACCTTTGTAAAAGTAGGTGTGGCATGTAAAGCAATCCAAAAATTAACATAATATATGACTTCCAATGGAAAACTCCTACATCCCTTGAGTGGTAAGGAATGTTCCAGGAGACTGAATTATAAATTAAACACAAAAACGAAATGCTTGGGTGGAAAACTCATTGAATTGTTTGTACATACTTTAAACCTCAAAATGGTATTGTGTTTTTCTAGTATATCAGTTTCTTTTTTCTTGCATTAGTTTTCTTAACTGCCTATTTTATTGACTTTCTTTTAAAAAGGTATTTCTTTATTAATTTCAGAGAGGAAGGGAGAGAAAGAGGTAGAAACATCAATGATGAAAATCATTGATCAGCTGCCTCCTGCATGCCCCCTACTGGGGATCGAGCCCACAACCCAGGTATGTGCCCTTGGCTGGAATCGAACCTGGGACCTTTCAGTCCACAGGCTGACGGTCTATCCACTGAGCCAAACCAGCTGGGGCTATTTTATTCACCTCCTACTCTATCCATGGTATAGACTGCTTCCATCTGTCTGTACTTCCTGATTCTTTCCAAAACTATTCAATGTACCAAAACATCTCCCTTTTCTATAACATTGTGCTCTTTCAAATTTCTTCAGAAAGTGTATCTCTTCAAAAATGACTGACATTACAATTTAGGGGCTGTGCCCAAGAGGAGTAAAGCAATGACAGCAAAAAGTGGACTTTGCTTTTAAACTTTCTATTACAGCTTACTTAGGCATTTTCTGATGTAAACTATCAACTCTTGCAAAAATTAAAAAAGGGATTCCTATTATGATTTCAACATGCACTCTAGTTTATATTTAAATGTATAAATTTGTCTTTGGTATTCATTACCTAAGATTTTAGAAGCATTAAGAAAAAGGTTAAAACATGTAAAGCTATGAAAACAGTTAATCTACTCCTCTATATCCGTCTCATTGTAACTGATCACACTGTGGATAATGTTGCATATTATTTTAATGTTTTAATTATAAATATTGCATGTTTATATGATTATATATAAGTTGACAATACCTAATATATAAGTTATTCTCTTATGTTAGGTATTGGAAGATCAGAAAAAAACATATAAAAGAACACACAGGTAAAATAAACACATGACTAAACATTGAGTATTTAAGTTTCTTATCAAGCTATTGAAATTTAGATTTATGTGTAAAGGTGTGAAATGTTTGTTAAGCCTGTAGAAAAAAATCATCCACCCTCTAATTCTCCATATTAGATAATTTTTAATGAATCTAAAATAATCAAAACATTAGATTTCTAAAAAATTATTTTAACAATTGTCTTGCTAAAGTATATAACATAAACTGATGCTAAAACCTGGTCTTGAATATACAAAAAGAGGTAAAATAGAATATTTTTTTAAAAATCCTAGAGACAGGAATCATGTTTACTTAACATGATTTACCATAAGAGAGTGGTTCAGGCTTAAGACATTTAAATGTTAGTTTTAATTTTTCATTTATCATGTGTAAGTAATGGACTTGAAAACAATTCCAAATTTATAGAATATCCATAAGTTATATTTCCGAAGAATTGTGTGATTTTTTGAAAGCTGTATGCATGAACCAAAAGAAAATTAATATGCTTATTATGTCCAGAACTGAGCTATTTATACAACTCCATGTATGTTCTGAAAGTGATATGATGTAAGATAATGCATGCAAAGTAATGTGTTAAGTTTTATCACTAAATCCTGTGATCATGATAGCGTGTTCCTGACAGACGTGATTCCTCTCAGTCAGAACTGGTTTTTATTTACAGAGCAGATGTGGTAAAACCTCAATATGCTCACATAGTAGAACCTGGATTTATTAATGTTACTGGAGTATAAATCAAACTCATATTATTTGTTTTTGAAACTATTTTGCTAAGTAGATATATTATGCAATTATTATAATGTTCCCAAATATATTGAAATAATAGCTTGCCTGTGACAGAGTACAAGAACTGGGCTCTAATACCTTAAACATCCACCCAGCAGCAACAGATTTCCTAGAATGGTGTTGACACCCCTAACAAATGCTCCCCTGACCTGCCAAATGTCAATAATAAGTAGTACAGATGATGGCATAAGGATATATGAGTGTACACGGCACCATCTATCCAGCTGAGGAATGCCTTCTTTTCTGTAAGCCATCTTTGCCTTAACTTTTTTGTATATAATGTTTGATATTCCAGCAACGAGATAAAAGTAAGGGACTGTAGAACATACTAAAATTTCCTATACTCGGGAAGAAAAGATCTATCATTCTGAAATGAGGTCACAGTTGTTCTTTTTGTTTGTTTTGTTTTTTACTTTTTTACTACTCTATTTATTTTCAAGTCTTATTAAAAGTTTAAATCATAGTTTTGCCTTTCTATTAAGCATAACTTATCAAATTTCCTATTTAAAAATTAAATATTTTAATGAAAATATATATTTAGAGAAACACAGCATCCTCAGGAAGAATGTATGCTGACCATACAGCAGGCAAATAAGTCCTTGATGTGGGAGAGGCTCTAATTATAGGGCTGCTATTTTTGTAAGTGAATAATAATAAATGTTCAGCAGCTACTTACAATGCTCATCACATTAATCTTAGTTGCTGTTCCTGGTTTACATAGGCACTATTTTTAAATTGTGAGTTCCTAAATACAAATTCAGCCCTCAAATATGAATTTCACTGTATCACTGAGGCATACAACTCTGCATAACCTCAATGAAAACAGCATGGTGGTCCACATTTCAGGGATACCAAAGTAGTGTGTGTGTGTGTGTGTGTGTGTGTGTGTGTGTTTTCCAAAAGCAAAGTTAGTGATAATTCCTTTTGCAGGATAGATGACAGGGTTAGTCAGCCTTTTAAAGGAAGGGCCAGGTTTGTAACATCGAAGGAATAGTTTTCTGGTAATGCTTGACCCTGAAAACATTTAGTTCTACTGGTTGCTTAGTTATAAATATTTTGAGAATGATGAAGTAATTTCTAATTTGACTGAGTTTCAACTAAGGTGTATTGCTTCATCCAAAATGTCAAATAGTTTAGGATGCTAAAAAAAGAATAAAGGGATACAGTTCAAAATTAAATGTTTATTAAATTTATAACAAAGCTAGCTCTTTTTAAAAATTTTATTGATTTCAGTGAGAAATAGATGGAAACATTTCAGAGAGAGAGATGGAAACATCGATAATGAGAGAATCATTAATCATTAATCAGTTGCCTCCTTCCCACCTCATACTGAGCATGGAGCCCGCAACTTGGGCATATGCCCTGGCTGGGAATTGAACTGTGACCTCCTGATTCATAGGTCGATGCTCAACCACTGAGCACACAGCTGGGCTTATCTATATAAATAAATAAACATATTTTTTTGTAGAGTATATTATAAAGAGGTTGGGGTAAATGGATATAAAATAAAAAATTACATGTGAGAGATTTGAGGTAACTGGAAACTAAAAATTATTTATTATAAGCATTAGGCTACAATATGAATATTAGAATTGTGAAGAGTATTTACCTTTTATGTGACATATAAAATAAAAGACTACTAATCATTTACAACTTTTTAAAAGATATCATATCTTTGATCTCACATTTATTAATGTAAGTTAAACTCATTTATGTAATAGTGTAGCATCAGTTTATGAAGTCAGTAAGAGCAACATTAATATATTAAAAAGTAATGTGTGGCCAAAACCAGTTTTGCTCAGTGGATAGAGCATGGTTCTGTGGACTGAAAGGTTCCAGGTTCGATTCCGGTCAAGGGCATGTACATTGGTTGCAGGCACATCCCCAGTAGGGAGTGTGCAGGAGGCAGCTGGTCGATGTTTCTCTCTCATTGATGTTTCTAGCTCTCTATGCCTCTCTCTTCCTCTCTGTAAAAAAATCAATAAAATATAATATATATTTAAAAAAATAAAATAAAAAGTAATGTGTGTTTTTAAGTATTCAAATGAGGAAGAAAAAGAATGACTGTGTAAAAGAGGAAGGAAAATTATTAAATTGTATGTAAATGAAAAGCTGGAGAAAAGCTTCTGAATCAAACTAGAGTGCAGTGCCCATTTCAGTGGTGCAAAAGCAAAAAAGGTGGTGGCTAAGTTCCAATCAGGAGCTCCCGGGCTCACCACTCTGCAGAAAGGCTGCACTAATTTTAGTATTGCCTCCTTTCTTCTGAACCTCAGTTTTCATAAATTTGTTTAAAAAAATTAAAGAGCTGTAAAACAAAATAATTTAGGGGCCTCCTGGTGCTTACCACAGGCTGTGCCATTACACTGACTACACAGAAATAGGAGGCCAACTAAACCTACCCCATATACACCTAGTTCAGGCCCTTTGCCTAGTCTGTATTGTGAATGGGGAGACATTGAGAAAAAAAGAAAATTATTCTGAAGTATTTTTAAGGCCATAGAAGTTAGAATTTCCCAAGCAAGATAAACCTACTTTTGATTTATTACAAGTATAAGTATTACATTTGACCATTGGGACTTATAGTACACTTAACTTTGTAGATTTTTTAAAATCAATTAATTAATATTATAGTCCTAATCCAGAATGACTCAGAAAGGCTTTTAATATTTTACCCTGATTCTCTATTCTTTTTTGCCTCCTATTCTGGCCCTATCTCCTCCAGCTGTTGTATTTGACCTCATCTTTGGACATAACGCTAAGAAATCGGTGAAATTTTTCCAAATAACTGCATCTGATGGAGGAGGAAGAAAGCCTAAATCACCCTGCCTCCTAATTCTTCCTGTATTTGTAGCAAAAGAAAACAAAAATGATAATGATATCCATATAGCAGACAGACTAGTAAGCTGAGTGAATGATGATAAACCACAGAGAAGATACGTGGAGCTGGAATCAGCAATGCTATGGAACAAATTAGGTATTTTTGTTCCTAATTTGTTTTGCTTTACTAATTTTTCTTTGTTGTTTAAAAGTCCTATCAAATCGGGCCACACTGAGTCATGATGACCATAAGCATTGTCTCAGTTGGAAATCTTTTTTCAGCTAACCTAAAATGTAAAATGATACTGCATCTGATATGCAGGACTCTATGGAAGTCTGGTGACCAATCATATTTGGTAAACACTTCTTTCTTTCTTTTTTATTATTAGTTTCTGAATACCTGGCTATATAATGAACAGCCTCCATTATTTAAAAATAAGTACCGGTAGGTATTTTTCACCCTTCCTCCCAATCTCTTTCTCCCTGGCAACCATCGGTTTATTCTCTACATCTATGACTTTGTTTCTGTTATGTTTGTTCATTTGTTTTCTTTTCACATATGAGTGAAACCATATGGTATTCTGCCTTCCATGTCCAACTTATTTCAGTAGCACAAAACCCTCTAGGTTCATCCATGTTGCTGCTAGTGACAAAATTTCATTCCTTTTTATGATTAAGCAATATTCAATCTTCTTTTTCATCTATCAATGGACACCTGGTGTGCTTCCATATTGGCTATTGTAAATAATGCTGTAATGATAATAAGGGTAATATACATATTTTGGGGGAATATAGTCAATAATATCCTGATAACTGTATGATGTCAGATGGTTACTAGACTTACTGTGGTGATCACATTGTTAGATATTTAAAAGTTGAATTACTTTGTTGCACACCTGAGAGTAATGTAATATTGTATGCTTACTATATCTTAAGAAATTTAAGTAGATTTTTCTAGGTTCACATTTCAAGCTAACAATAATTATTTGGTATAGTTTTATTTAACTTTCAATTTCTAAGAGGTCATTACTTCCAAAAGGGATTCTTGATATCAAATTATAACATGGGTTTTCCTGTAATGGTTCCTGCCATTTTTGTAGTATTCTAAAAATAAGATTTTCAAATGAATCAGATAATATTTTCGAATGAACACAGAAATAGGAGGCCAACTAAACCTACCCCATATACACCTAGTTCCCCCTTTTACTCTTTTCTTCCTCCACCCCCTACATAATTACCACACTGTTGTGTGACTTTAATATCAAGTGTTTACATTTTCCTTTTAGAAAAAAACACACACCCATTAAATCCAAGTAAATAAAGTTATATCTCATGGAAATATAGAAAAGGGGGTTATGATACAAGACTAGCATTGAAATCACTTCTCTCATATATCTCGGTGCTTGCTAGTCCTATCTGATATACACACTGTACATTTATGAAAAGGAGGCTATTGGTTGGGTACTACTAGTTTTACCTTGGAATATTGCTCGCGATCAAGTTCTTGACTAGAACCAGACCCTGTTGTCTGCTTAAATCGATGCACTTTCATTTTCATCTGTCTTGTTCGCTCCTCCACTACTAAGCTTGCTGCAAAAACACACAATGGAAGCCTATTAAAACATGTGAAGCGCCTTTTAGAAACTGAATGGCTTTTAAGATCTTAATGCTTTCGCTATGACTTCAGTTAAATGAAGCTTAGAAATAACACATTAGCAAAATTAAAATATGCAGAATATACAATGCTAGCAACTGTTAATCTAAAGATGAACATGACTCTGCTCACACAGAATGGGGAACAAAAATATTAGTAACAATATACCCTGTTTCTTCATCTGTTCTGAAATATTTTCAATTCCACTGATTATGTGAAACAAATCTAATTGTGAAAATATGTTCTAAACTTAATCAACTGGATGTTGTATGTACATATATAGGGAAAACAAGTATGCAAACTGAACACATCACACATATATGCACATGCTTACATGCATGCACACACCCATTTGACATCCTCAGTTAAGAGTCACCTAAAAACTTTTAATTATAATAATCTGTTTTTTATGAGGCTTTCTTATTAAATCATTAATTTATAGCAATAGCTTTTCGTGAATATTCGCCAGTCTTAAAGGTGAACTGAAAGTTTAGTTTTCTATTTCTTATGGCTATGTATGAAATATATAAACTTTGTAATATAAAAATTTTAGCTCTGCCGAAACCGGTTTGGCTCAGTGGATTGAGCATCGGCCTGCGGACTAAAAGGTCCCAGGTTGGATTCTGGTCAAGGGCATGTACCTTGGTTGCGGCACATCCCTAGTAGGGGATGTGCAAGAGGCAGCTGATAGATGATTCACTCTCATCAATGTTTCTGACTCTCTATCCCTCTCTCTTCCTCTCTGTGAAAAATCAATAAAATATATTTTTTTAAAAATTTAGCTCTGCATTTTATAACATGTAAAGACATATATTTCATTTAAGCCTTTATTAATCTCTTAAGTACCAGGTGTGACTGTTTAGATGGGAAAAATCATAGCCTTCAATAAAATATGTAAAGTTATAATTAATTATAAGAGGCTAAATTTCAAGACCCTGACTTTAATTTTTAAATTTTACACATAAAGAAGTAAGAGCTAAAGGTACAGGGATGTGAGGTGTAAGCTACTAAAACATACCTGTGTTGTATGAGATCTATGTTTACTTTTTACAGCTTATCTTATGCCAATTTCCCAGACTATTCAATATTTTCATGTGTTAACATTTATTTCTAAGTTCTGTATACACATATATACACACACAAAAAATTGTGATTTATTAAGCCTTCTGCCAAGAGACCTTAATGACTTAAAGGATAATGGAAAAGATGATACATTTGATTGACTTAGCCGTTGATTGCATCTCTTGCAAGTTTATACAGATACCTGCTGTCAAATTTTCCATTTCAATGATTAAACATGGTGTGGGAACCACGCCAGAGGCACCTGATAGTCAAGGCTAATTAAAGCACAGAGGCCTTGTTGTCAATACAATGGATTGTCCAAGGCCACAGCATCTCATGGCATCCTGTGCCTTTCTATAACCTAAGTGATTGATGTCACTATTTGCAACTAGCCTTCTTTGTCTAAGGAGTAATACACAGCTTACTGGCTAACTAGCAGGGAGAGTGTGTGAAGAAGATGAAGCTGGAGAAAGGGAGCTGAGAGCTGGTAGTGCTATACCTGAGCTCAGAGATAGCTACTATGTTAACCAGCCTGTGTGCTGGGCCAGTGAAGCTCAGAGGTGGTTACTATGTGAGGCTATAGAGATCAGCTAGTGTGCTAGGCTGGGCAGACAGGAGAAGCTGCTGAGCCAGAGAGCTTAGGTACCGCTACGATGTGAGGCAGTGTGGCTGCTCAGGTAATAGCTGTGGGCACAGAGATTAATGCTGCTTTGTAGGAAAGCTGTATTTACCAGCCAGTGTATGGCTGCCTATATAGAATTGCTGTGAAAGACTGTGTTGTCTGATGGCTATGTGGCCACTGGCTTCTGCAATACAGACTCATTCTTATATACCCACAACTTCTCGGGCTTCTCAGCCTGCCCCGCTGCCGTAAACAGAATCACCCTTATAGCAGCAGTGCTTGTGCAGTGATCCCGCTGTCTCTGACACAAGGCCCACCATCTTTGATAAGAGAAACTGATTCCCATCTTAAAAAAATCAAGTAAACATGTAGTTTTTATTGTGTGTTCAAATATAGACTAATAGTCTAAGATAAATATGCAGTTTGAAATCTGTGGTAAAATGTTTAAATCATACTTTCAGCACTAGTTATGTTTAGTTTTGATTAAATTCAGTAAATTAGATTTAAAAAAAAATTGATCCCTAACATCACATTATATGATTAAAGCAATGATACATGCTTACTTTGAAAATGTTGACTTGAGAGGCAGAAAATGATAACTACTAGTGATTAAAGGATGGTTCAAGGAGATCTTGAGAAAAGCAGTTCACAAATGTATTAATTACTTGGTAACATATAAGTAGACAATGAATATTATAAAGCAAAATGTTAACAGAGTAATAAGGAACTGAAACAAGTTATCGAAAAACCTGTTCTATTTATAGAAAGTCATATGCAACGCATGAAAATATATAAATATCTGTTCTCTGCCTTCTGCTTACGGTGTGGGTACCTCAGTCTTTGAGCTTTGAAGAGTCAAATGCACTGTAATTATCAGTTGTACTTTAAAATTAAAGCTTAAAACATTTCAAAGTAATCTCTACTTGAGATAAAAACAGATGAAAATATTAGCTTAATTTTCTCACCAAATGATATTAGTTTTAAGAATGATCTGACATTGATTAGCCCATAGGTTTGTAACTTTAATTTTAAGTATAATGTAATTCTTAGGGAGGATGGTAACTGGACACTGAAAAATTTATTTCCCAAGAGCTACTGTCTTGAAGCAGTTCTGGTAAATTAACCTTGCTGAGACAATATCCCATCTCTCTAAAGAGGATTACGTAGCTTATGACATGGCTACATTTAAATCTTTATTTTGCAAAACTTATGTAATAATTTCAACAAAAATTAAAAAAATAGAAAAACAATAAAATCAATAAACATATCCTCAGGTGAGGTTAGATAGATAAAATAAAAATAAAAAACAACCCTAAATAATAGGAGTGGTAGCCTAACTAAATCTTAAAATGGTTTTAAATCACTTCACTTTTATTTTTCAAAAATGATATATACAGAGGTGGGCAAAAGTAGATTTACAGTTGTAATACCAAATACATAAACAATATTTAATAAACTAGTGCCCCAGTGCACAAATTCATTCACATTGAAAGGAAGGTGGCCTGTGGGGTGAGACTGGGCAAGACAGGCTGGGCATGCCCTGGAGCCAACCTCCCATGGTCCCTCTCCAGCTGCTGCACCTGAAGCAACGCCATGGCTCCAAGGTTGCCTGTGTAATGAGCAGGGTTCCTCCATCAGGTGGGGTCTCTCTGTCTGGCCTATGGGGATCAGGCCAAAAAAGGCTCTCTGACATCCCCCAAGGGGTCCTGAATTGTGAGAGGGTGTTTCTCCAGTGACGCACCCGGAATTGGGCTGCCTCCAATCTGGGTCTGGATGTGTCATCTGAAAACCGCCGCTGCCAAGTCACTGCAGCTCAGCTGTTCCTGCGTTGAGCATCTGCCCCCTGGGTGTCAGTGTGGGTCATACCTATCGGCCGGCCTGACAGTCAGATGGTCACTTGCCATATATGTGTGTGTGTGTGTATGTGTATATATATATATATATATATATATATATATATATATATATGTATGTATATATTATAAGAATACACTCTGTGTTTCATGTACTCACAACTTTGCCCACCCTTGTATGTAGAGAAACTTTATTCCTAAAGAACAAAAGTTGATATCTTTTAATCTGACAAAGAAAGAAAATCTCCAAGTTAATATTGACACAAAATCATGAGTAAACCTCCTTTGACTCTGCAGCAAAACATACCGTATTTTTCGGACCATAAGACACTCCGGACCATAAGACGCACCAGTTTTTAGAGAAGGGAAATGAAGAAAAAAAGATTCTGAAACAAATAGTGTCCTAAAATATTTTATGTGCATTAAAACCCAACATCACAGTCATAAACACATGTAATCAACCCTGTAAAGTAAACAGCAGCATTTAGAACCATTTTAGAGCCGGGCAAGCACACAGAGACCACACAGAGCCGGGCAAGTAAAAAAACTTTTTTTTTAAAGTATATGTGTAGGCTATATTTGGACCATAAGACACAGGGACTTTCCCCCCCACTTCTGGGGGGGAAAAAGTGCATCTTATGGTCCGAAAAATACGATAGTTATTATGCTATCCTCATTACTTATTTTGTAGTTTCTTTAAACTGAATATTGTGGAATAAAATTACCCTTTTTTCTAGATAATTGGTATGTCAATATAAGTAGTAAGACAAATGTATAAACAGAATATTTATCACAAATTTGGACCTGATTTCACGATTTATACAGAAAATATTAACATTTCATGATGATTAAAAGTGAACTGAATTCTTCAAATATGATAACCTGCCAAGTATCTCACTATAAGTAAGATTAACCACGGCCCTGAATGCTCAAGTATCTTACTGCAAAAAAGAATGATTACTGATTATCATTCTAAAATTTTATATTATTTTAACAATTTAATATCAGTAGAAAAATTGAAATATAGAATAAGATATTTTCCAATTCTCCCACAAATCCTTACATTATATTCACATTTTAGGGATATTCTGAATGTTGGCCACATTTTAAACTAACAAAATCACTAAAATACTCATTGCTATTTCTTAACAAAAAAGATACAAAAATTAAGGAATTTTAAAAAAAGTTTCAAAACTAATATTAGTTAAAAATTCTTATTTTCTACTATAGATATAATTATTATGTAATTTCACTTACCTATTTATTTATTTATTTATTTATTTAATCTTTATTGTTGAAAGTATTACATAGGTCCTCCTTTTCCCCCACATTAATCTCTTCCAACTCAGACCCTGTACCTTACCCCCCAGACCCCTACCATCCCATTTTCTGTGCCTAT